TTAATCATAAATAACTTATTGAATAAGTATAAAAATACACTGTTTTATGCTTAAATAATTCGAATTAACCAAAATTCAAAGAACAAAAGTTGTACAGAATCAAATTTCTTAAAAGATATATTATCAAAATATTTAATGGATAATTTCACATAGAGAAATAGTGATTTTTACGTAGTTTGAATGTTTCAAAAGTCCTATTTCAAACAGTCTACAGTTAGGGCTATTATACCGATATCCTAATGATTTTTACATAACATAAAACACTAATACACGATTTGATGTGGATTTGACAAGCATTATACACGTGATAATCCATAATTACGCCACGTAACAGTGTCGGTACCCACATAATTTCTATTTATATAGATCCCTTATGATTTTTACAAAACACAAAACACTAATACAAGGTTTGATGCTGATTTGATCAGCATCATACACGTATAATTACATCACATGACAGTGTCAGGACTCACATAATTCTTATGATTATTTTTATTCTCTCTCACCTGCAATCCTGTTTTTCCTTCATGCCCCAACATCACTCTTGGAACACTAGCTGACTATGTTCCAAAATCAGTAAATAACTTCTCATGTGATAATTGGTGAGGGCACAACTACGTAATGACCCAGAGCGCCAAATAATTTTCAACTAGAGAATTAGTCCACATTATTCTAAAGATATATCATTACCGACATGCATAGTGCCACCTTTCGATAATAATCCACTATTTTATACAAGTAAACTCTATTATATAAAGATTTCATCACCAACATATATAGTGCCACCTTTCAATAATAATCCACTATTTTATACAAGTAAACTCTGTTATATGAAGATATCATTATTCCACTATTTTATACAAATCTATTATATATGTATATAAAAAAAAAAATTTGGCAGAAAACTCTATTATATAGTATTAACGACGGACCTAATGTTAAAAACAATAATGCCCCAGTTCAATAGAACCCCCTAGCTAAGGCTAATAAGTGTTATTTTCATAGTCACAATGATTAATACTAACAATAGATTTTTATTTTTCATTTTTTATTTTTTTGAAAACTGAAAGATCGTGTTACCTTTCTTACATTCTCATCAATTCAACTAACAATCTCAATTTTCATGAGAAAGTTTATTAGTAAAACAAGATAAAATTCAATTTCATCCCAAAATGAGAGAACCAAAGGATCCAAGTGGACTCGAACCACTATCCTCCCAAACACAACATATTAGAAAACAGTTTTGTTCACTCACCACCATGACAAAGTAAAACAATATGATTTCCATTCATTGGAAGAACCAACGAAGGTGAAGTCATATTTACTTGACACACCATAAAAACATGTGAACAAAATCAGTCTCAAACATGTAAAATTGTTTGGGCGCTCTTACCAATTTGAGCTTATGGATCCACAACGAAGCTTCATCAAGGTAAACTAATTAATAATACATCAACCAGTCATTAAAAAAAAAATACAATTTAATACATTTTCAATATTCAATATTTTTGTGCAATTATTAATTTTTTAAAATATTTTTTTCAAATACATCTAACAAAGTAAAATATTTTCTTCGTACTTTTATTATTTAAATACATCGAAATAAAATACATCTAACAAAGTCTAATAAAATTAGTTAAATTTTTAAAAATATTCACAGAAACAAAAAGCTCTAAAAATAAAAAACTTAATTTTTAAAAAACTAAATTTAAAAAATTAAAACCAAACACACTAATTAATTTTTTACTTAAACGATTTGGCAACTTAAACAAAAAGCTGCATTTTGTGAATTCATATAAAACGCCAAATCATGCAAAAACGCTGAAAATCCCATTTGGGAAGACCCAAAAAAGCAACTCAGCCATTTACCAAACTACCCTCCGAAATATTATAATTAATTAATTCAAAAAAGTATTGACATACAAAAAGGCAAAATTGTAAATTTTATTAAAAAGTAACGATATTTTGACCGTTTAAAAATAATGTGACACTTCAAAAATATTAAACCAAAAATAAAAAAAAACCAACTTCTTACCAACTTCTTACCCACTTCTTAAATCACTTCCAAAAAAACCAAAAAGCTTAGTTAAAAACCAAAAACTAACTTTTTACCAACTTCCCAAAACACCCATACCATTTGGCATTTTCTGCGATAATTTTCCAAATTATTTTCGGATTTAGATACAAAAATTACATTACATATTTTTATTTTTCGATATTTGAAAAAAAAAATTATTTTCCATTATAAAAGTATTCCAGGTATAACTTATGTACTCAAAAAAATATTAACCCCAAAAACGTGTTAAAACAAGCTATAACATAACATATACATTTTTAATAATGTAACAGAGAATACATGATTCTTTCATCCAACCATACAAACTAACGAATTTCAAACAAAACAACCTAGCGTCAACAAAGATTTTGAATGATGACCCTCTTCCAATACAAAAACAATATTTTAACACTAACAGAGAAATTCAAAATTTCCAAGGCTTAATTCTAAATTGCTAAAAGACCAAGTTGATCAATTTTTCAAGATTACTGCTTTTGTTAAACAGCAAATAACAAAAGAGTGAATTTGGCCCTCACAAATATCAAATAACAAAAATTTTTACCTACTAAAATAATCAAAAATTAAAATGGCCTACTAAAATAACAGCTTTCCAAACACCCATAAAGATTTGTTTGGAAAGAACAAAGACCCAAAACTTTTTGGCTATTTTAATCCAAAAAAAACAAAAAAAACTTTTTTATCTAATAAGACAATACATCACATCCAACCCATAATCATTATATTTTTTCTATTACAAAAGTACAAAAAAACTAATTCCAAACAAAACTTTTTAATCCCACGCTAAAATGACCAAAAAAAACCAACCCATATCCCAAACGAACCTAAGTAGCTTAAATTGACTTTTTGATGATGAAACTTAATTAAGCATTTTGGGCTTGTAAGCCCTGCCAAATGAGGCCCATATACCACTTGAACACCAATGAAGATTGAAATCATTAGAATTCATGGGCTGCCATGAAGATTTCAAGGATGGTTGTAGTGCCTTGTAGATGACCAAGAATCATATTGTCGATTGCACAACTCTCAGATAGGGAGTAGATGGTTCAAAATAGTCTAGGTTAAGGGTGGGTATGGACAATGACAGTAGGCAGAGGTGGCTATGTGAGAGCATAAAATTTAAGGCCCTGTTTGTTTGTATTCCCAAATCAATTTTCTACGTGTGTTTTGGAGCATCATGTTTGGTTACGTTTTCAAATCAATTTTCTACACTCTCTGCAGAGAACTCTGCGCACACAGGCGTGTTTTCTGTCCACTGGATGACCACCCGGTAGACCACCCGGATGACCACCTGGTAGGCCACCCGGATGTCCACCCGGATGTCCGGCTGATTTCCAGATTTTTTTTTTTTTTTTTTTTTTTTTTTTTTTTTTTTTGCAATTGATTTATATAATCGAAAAAAACATTTTCTGAAATTTTTAAAAATTTTTATGTACTTTAAAATAATTTTGAGTTGTATGTTTAGTTATGAGTTGTAAATTTTTGTATCACATATCAAACGTGACATCAACAATTCCCCACTCAAATCAAACTCTTTTCAAAACTATTTTCAAAACTCTTTACGAAACAAATTTTCTACACTCAAATTATAATTCCACAACACACAAACTCAAAATACAACTCATACTCTCAAATCACATTTACAAAACTCTACCAAACGCTACCTAAATTTTGGGGAGCAAATGCTAATTAGACAAGTTTATTTGGGGGTGAAAATTTCAAAATACCCAACCTGTATATTGGTACTGTTTGGTATAACTGTTAAAACAGAATATAAATTATACCTTAACAAATTATAGATTATGACTTTAATCAGAAACTGTTAATCTGTTCGATATAACTGTTAAATTATAAATTTAAGTTACTGAGTAGTGTTTGTTAAATAAACTGTGTAACTTTTTTAATTAATTTTTATTTTTTATTATTCACTATTTGTCTACATTTTTCATAAAAAATAATAATAATATTTTATAATCTATTTGGATCTTTTTCTATTTTTAAAAAAATTAAAAATAAAAAAATTTAAGAGTATAACTGTAAATTAATATGTCCACAACAAAAACAGATAATCAGAAATAAAGGGTGAGCAGCTTCTTAGAATCAACCTTTTTGACTTAAAATAAGTTGTTAGAATCAGAAACTATTTGAAATAAATTTAACCAAACAGTCCAAAATAACTTTTCCCACACAAATATCACACATCCAACTTTTAAAAAAAAATTCAATCTTCCCAGATACAACTATTTTAACTTACTAAAATAACTAAAAACTAAAATAACCTCTTAAAATAGCTAACTTACCAAACATCCCCAAAACTACGGGAAAATAACTGCAAAGTGGGTGCAACCAAAAAAAAAAATTACAAAAACATGAAAAAAATTGTACATTTTAATTATTGAAATACTATACTCTTTCATGTTTTTGAAATGGGTGGTGATTAAGAGCTCTAATAATAGAGCTCTAATAAGAGCACTAGTGACATGGCAACCTAAAAAAAAAAAAACAAAAAAACAAAAAAACAAAACAAAAGCAAAAACATCAAATCATACAGTGGGGCCCACAGGTTAGAGCTCTTCTAGAGCTCACAATTTAGAGGTCTCAAGCATTTTTCTTTTGAAATTTATTTTTGCTGCAGCCACTGCAGTTATTTCCCTAAAAATGACAAATACATGACTGCTGTGCTGTGCCCAATTTCCACCTTTCACCAATCAAATAATATACAATTTAAATAGCAACACTAACATCCCCAAAACTATGGAGAAATAACTGCAAAGTGGGTGCAACCAAAAAAAAAATTACAAAAACATGAAAAAAATTATACATTTTAATTATTGAAATACTTTACTCTTTCATGTTTTTGAAATTTATTTTTGCTGCAGCCACTGCAGTTATTTCCCTAAAAATGACAAATACATGACTGCTGTGCTGTGCCCAATTTCCACCTTTCACCAATCAAATAATAAACAATTTAAATAGCTACACTAACAAGCTAAAAATCACAATGCCAATTTATTCTTCAAATTTGACAATCAGGACAAAACTAACCCAACTTCAAATGCCAAAATTAATGCTACACAGACTTCACCATTGCTCCAAGCAAAGGAAACACAAATTTGATAGCAGGCACAACCTTGACAAGAAGCATATAACCCTCAGGCTTGTGAGAAATCAATACTGATCTGATCATACAAAGATATCATAAAAGAAACCAATCTCAAAGATAAATACCTCACAGGCTGCATCACGACAACTGCATACTTGAACACATTCTCCATATGAAGTGGATCAGCGCCATACCACATGGATACAATGAAATTCCAAATGGAAGCGTATATCTGGAATGCAACCTGCACAAAAAACTTCCCTAGCAGCTTTTTGGCCACACAGTAGGGACAATAAAAGAAAAGACAAAACAGCAATGAATACACTAAGATTGAAATTTACTCTCTTACATAAATAGCTACTGGCCCAACTAGCATACATGATTAAAACTACAAAATATAATGGATTATATAGTGGTTTCGATTGATAACATCCCAGGAAAGAGACAACTGAATAAACCACATGAAATACGAGCTATACAAGGACATCAGTATATGCCACCAAAATTATGAAGATAAGAAGGTTCAACACAATTGGAGTACTCCGCCACTTCTGCCACTAGTCTGACAAGCAAGAAAATACTGTTGCGAGGCAAGATTATCAACATTCCAAATCATATCAGCATGAACAAAGAGTCAAAATCCCTATGCAATCAGCACAACATAACTGCTACCACAACAGAATCAAGATTCTTCACAGTGCAGCATTCTAACAATTCTCACAATTAGGGGTGTGCATAATACCGCCGAAACCGCCGAAACCGCACCGAACCGCACCGTCAAGGCAAATTCGTTATCATTTGTCAATCGAACCGCCGATTTTTGATAAGAAAAATGGCAAATTCTAGTGACACTTTTATCAATCCGCCGGTTTCTATTTTTCTTCCAAACCGCACCGACCCGCACCGCTATTAAATCATGTTTTATAAGATTCTAAAAAAACTTTTTTACTTAAGTTTGCTTGTTGTTCTATACCTTAAAATATAAGAGGAATTCAAGATGTCAGTAATCCAAAATAAAGTTGGATTCCAATTCACTTTTCAGTCTCAAAATGATTTATTTTTTTAGACAAAAAATTTGATCTTAAAACGAAAATTCATCACTAATATCTAATTTTCATTGCTAAAAAGATAATAATGACACTTTTCGTAATAAAAATATTAAGTTCCTAAAAAATAATTTTGTCCCTAAATTTTTGGTCTTTAAAACCTTAATTTTTTGTAGTGCCAAGATCGTCAACTTTTATAATTTTCACAAACAATAATATAATACGAAAAATAAAACATACTAGGATATGTTTTACAAAACCTTCAACTAATATAAAGTTGATTGAACAAAGAATTAAATGTATGTTTATAAGTAGAAAATAAGCCAGTTTCATAATATAGCCCATCAAAATAGAACACTTAAAAAAACTATTCTTTTAAGATAGTAACTTGTGATTTACGATAAAAAACCACAATTTTATTAAATTTATAATTCACACGTGTCCTGTTATATCACGTGAATCACTATAATGACTAAATAAATAAAATTAGTGTTTTTTTTTTAGTGGGTAAATCATAAATTAAAGATAAAATTTACACATTTACATGGGGACACCCCAGGTAATACAAAGAATCTCACGCTGCCCCCCAAAAAAGGGGGAGACTATTACAGATAAAAATAAATACAAAATAACTAATTATCACAACCCGTAAGAGCAGGGTACCCAGCAAATAAAACATAAATAGATCTTTAAAATTGCCCATATATTTTCTCAAGTAACCCCTACCATCCAGAATAATAGATGAAAATTTAAGAAAAATATATGGGCAAAATCAAAAACAAAGAACTAACCATGTCAACTCATGAACCATGGCTGACCAAAAAAAAAAAAAAAAAAAGGGCCCCCCCCCCGGGCCCAAAAAAAAAAAAACACATACTCCCTTCTTGTATGCCATGAACATGTCCTTATGCTTACATTGCATAAACAACAAAAAGGGATCTAACAAACCCTTACAAAGGAACGCAGCTTCACCACCCTTCTCTAAGCCTCCGTTGGCTTCACCACCGCCTGCCTTCTTCATGCGCGTCCAAAATCAAATGACTTCGAACAATCTGAATTTAGTTCTGTCAAAGATAAAAGTCAACGGCGTCAATTCAAGATCCAAAATTATATCTTATAGATCTGTAAAAAGAACACAGTTTTCATAAATGATCAGATCTGACCAAAGAATTACAATAAATTCAAAACTAATATAGAGACAAGAGCACACTTCGAGAGCATTCAAGCAATTAATCAAATAAATATAAATATAATTCAAGATCAGATCAACTACATACCTGTATAGATCTGTCAAATCCGCACCAACTTCGATCGATCTAAAAAGACATGGACGAGTAAAAGAGGAGTCTTGAACCACATATCTCTGAATCTACGAAAGGAGGCGAATTTCTCAAAAAAAATGCTCGAATCCATAATCAAATCGTAGATCGTCAAACGATCTCTATCGATCTGGAGAGAGATTTCGAAGATGAGAAATGAAAAAGAACAGATCTAACAAAAATAGAGGCGATAATGTCTCAAGATGAGAGAGAGAGAGAGAACAAATTAAAGAAACGACCATGCACAGAAGAAAGAGGTTGAGCGTGATTTATTGACTGCCTAGCATGATCCAACGGTTGTAAATGAAATGGTTGAGGAAATATCAACGGTAAGACGAACGTGGCCGTAGATGAGACGGTGGCGCTGTTTGGGAAACACGGGCAAATTACAAACCACCTTCGACATTTGATAAAAATACAAGGGTCTGTTTGGTTGTATTTTCAAATTAGTTTTCAACATGTAAATTCGCGCTTCACGTTTGGATAGAACACTCAAAATAAATTTCCGCGTGTGAATTCAAATTATAGTATGAAAATCTGTTTGGCAGGTTGTATCTCTACTTTCAACTCTTGTGCATTCTTTCATGTCCTTCTATGTCGTCTCCATCGTCTCTGAAATATTCCATCGTCTCTGAAATATTCACGTGAAGCTCATCTCTGTATCAAACATTAGTCCTTTATATTGATCACGGGTAGGCTTGTCTATCAAACATCAGTACTTCAGATACTTCAGATTCATCACAGGCACTTCAGATTTATCACGGGTGGGCTTCACAGAGAAGACTGATTTTATAAATAATGAATCCACCCAACCCGCTCTATACTGGTATCATCTTTCACAAATCGAGTTCCTTACGATTTGTGCGTTGTGGAAGATTCTTATTACGGGCAACGAAACAACGACGACTGCGACGTAAAAGAACTCACAAATTTATTTACATATTTTGTTATAGGTCAATGATTTGAAAAATTCATTCCTAATTTTATTCAAATTTTTTTTCAGGTCAAATTTATCAAAAAAGAGTGAATTTGGCCCTCACAAATATCAAATAACAAAAATTTTAACCTACTAAAATAATTAAAAATTAAAATAACCTACTAAAATAACAACTTCCCAAACACCCATAAAGGTTTGTTTGAAAAGAACAAAAGCCCAGAACTTTGTAACTATTTTAATCCAAAAAAAACAAAAAAAACTTTTTAATTTAATAAGACAAAACATCACATCTAACTCATAATCATTATATATATTTTTTTTTACAAAAGTCAAAAAAACTAATGCCGAACAAAACTTTTTAATCCCAAGTTAAAATGACCAAAAAAACCAAACCCACATCCCAAACGAACCTAAGTAGCTTAAATTGGCTTTTTGGTGATGAAACTTAATTAAGCATTTTGGGCTTGTAAGCCCTGCCAAATGAGGCCCATATACCACTTGAACACCAATGAAGATTGACATCATTGGAATTCATAGGCTGCCCATGAAGATTTCAAGGATTGTTGTAGTGCCTTGTAGATGACCAAGAATCATATTGTCGACTGCATAACTCTCAGATAGGGAGTATATGGTTTAAAATAGTCTAGGTTAAGGGTGGGTATGGACAATGGACAGTAGGTAGAGGTGGCTTTTGTGAGAGCATAAAATTTAAATTTTGGGGGGCAAATGCTAATTAGACAAGTTTATTGGGGGGTGAAAATTTCAAAATACCCAACCTGCACATTGCGGAACCCATCACAAATGCTATGGTAATAAAAATACTAAACAAATTCAAACCACAGAAATGACAAAGAAAAATGCTTGGGCGCACTAATTAGTGCTCACACTAATTAGGTGGCAGTGAGTCCCGTCGTTAATGATGTGATGTTTTGGTCTTGGAGTTATGTTTTTTTTTTTTTTTTTTTCTTTTTTAATGTATTAGTGCTATTAGTGGTGATGTTTTTAGTGGGATGAATCATTGTTGAAAAACAAACTATGCAGCACGGGAAGTAACCGCAAGGACTAGCAACAGTGCTTCAAATCTATAGGAACGTTGGGGATAACAATTGGTTTTCGACTTTTTCAATTAAAATAACACAGCCTCGTCTAGAAGCAATTTATTTTAGTAATCTTTGAACATTTTATAAAAAAAATTATACAAAAACATAAATAAATAAATAAAGAAAATAATATAATAACTTAAAATGATTTTTTAACTAAAACATATAATTGCCAAATAGACTAATCAATAAAATAAAACCACATTAAACCTATAATCATTTTAATTTCTCACACAAATATCACACATCCAACTTAAAAAAAAAAAATCAATCTTCACAGACAACTATTTTAACTTACTAAAGTAACTAAAAACTAAAATAACCTCTTAAAATAGCTAACTTACCAAACATCCCCAAAACTATGGGGTTGCAAAGTGGGTGCAACCAAAGAAAAAATTACAAAAACATGAAAAAAATTATACAATTTAATTATTGAAATACTATACTCTTTCATGTTTTTGAAATTTATTTTTGCTGCAGCCACTGCAGTTATTTCCCTAAAAATGACAAATACATGACTGCTGTGCTGTGCCCAATTTCCACCTTTCCCTAAAAATGACAAATACATGACTGCTGTGCTGTGCCCAATTTCCACCTTTCACCAATCAAATAATATACAACTTAAATAGCTACACTAACAAGCTAAAATCACAATGCCAATTATTCTTCAAATTTGACAATCAGGACAAAACTAACCCAACTTCAAATGCCAAAATTAATGCTACACAGACTTCACCATTGCTCCAAGCAAAGGAAACACAAATTTGATAGCAGGCACAACCTTGACAAGAAGCATATAACCCTCAGGCTTGTGAGAAATCAATACTGATCTGATCATACAAAGATATCATAAAAGAAACCAATCTCAAAGATAAATACCTCACAGGCTGCATCACGACAACTGCATACTTGAACACATTCTCCATATGAAGTGGATCAGCGCCATACCACATGGATACAATGAAATTCCAAATGGAAGCGTATATCTGGAATGCAACCTGCACAAAAAACTTCCCTAGCAGCTTTTTGGCCACACAGTAGGGACAATAAAAGAAAAGACAAAACAGCAATGAATGCACTAAGATTGAAATTTACTCTCTTACATAAATAGCTACTGGCCCAACTAGCATACATGATTAAAATTACAAAATATAATGGATTATATAGTGGTTTCGATTGATAACATCCCAGGAAAGAGACTAACTGAATAAACCACATGAGATACGAGCTATACAAGGACATCAGTATATGCCACCAAAATTATGAAGATAAGAAGGTTCAACACAATTGGAGTATGCCCCCACTTCTGCCACTAGTCTGACAAGCAAGAAAATACTGTTGCGAGGCAAGATTATCAACATTCCAAATCATATCAGCATGAACAAAGTCAAAATCCCTATGCGATCAGCACAGCATAACCGCTACCACAACGGAATCAAGATTCTTCACAGTGCAGCATTCTAACAATTCTCACAATTGCTAGTTGCACGACTCAGCCACAGGCAGCCAACACTAAAACTTTAGCTTCACAACCTATAGCAGATTACAAAAGAGACATTTTTGAAACCAGTGCAACAACCCATTGGGAAACATTCCTTGCAATTTCAAACCACTGCTCTACCAAACTCAAAAACCCAACAAATTAAACATAAAAATACAGAGCATGTGTATACAGTTCATTCAGCATTTATCCATGCTTTAGAACCACATGACCATGCAACTGGAACTCTACACAATCATATCCGAACATGTCATATTATATCTGAAGCAACTCAAACTTTTACATTTGAAATAATAATAGCACCACAAACTAAATATTATTGAAGTACTAAAATCACATAGAGAACCGAAATGCAAATTCATCTTCAAAATTGCAGAGCCAATTCTGGTTTTGCGAGTCAAAGTAGAGTTTGGTTCAAGGTTGCTCATTGCCATTCAATTTTGCAAAATAAATTAGAATTTTGTGTGTCAAATCTGAGCAGCCTCCATAGGCCAATTATTAATTATAAAACAAATACAAAGCTGAATTTCTTGATCAGATTATGGACTATAAATATACAAATGACGATATTATAAATAGACAGAACACAAAATGCTAATCACGGCTTCAAAACTGCGGAGAACATTAATGGATGGTGAATTACAAACGTTCTTACGGATTCAATTTGCCAGTATAAAAATAGTTATGGGTCAAAAATTGTTAGGCCTCCAAAATGAGGCCAATGGATTTTAAATTAAATACGAAGATTGGATTTTTTTGGCTCAAATTATGCAATCAATGATGTTAAATGTTAAGAAAATGCGAATAGTAAATGGAAAAATAAGTTTTGAGGGCATTGTAGCTTGTACCTGTTGGACTGAGTAGTCATATGGTGCTAATCCAATCCTTGTGTTTGCTTGCGTATGTATGTCCTATTTGCCTCGAATTGGTATAAAAAGAACCAAGAAGTGGCAAATAAAGACACGGACAACCGATTTGAAGAAGAGGGTAGAGAAAAAACAACAGAAAAAAAAAAAGAAGACACAAGAAGGGAGAGCCGGGCAAAACCCCGTACCTTCTCCCCTCAAAACACCAACAAACAAGTTTTATTAGGTATTGTTTGACCTGCCAAGCAAGCGCACCTGACATGGCAAAGGTCGTGTGACAACCATTAGAACATTGCACAGATCTCATATTCCTTCCCCCCCCCCCCGGCCAAAAAAAAAAAAAAACACATACTCCCTTCTTGTATGCCATGAACATGTCCTTATGCTTACATTGCATAAACAACAAAAAGGGATCTAACAAACCCTTACAAAGGAACGCAGCTTCACCACCCTTCTCTAAGCCTCCGTTGGCTTCACCACCGCCTGCCTTCTTCATGCGCGTCCAAAATCAAATGACTTCGAACAATCTGAATTTAGTTCTGTCAAAGATAAAAGTCAACGGCGTCAATTCAAGATCCAAAATTATATCTTATAGATCTGTAAAAAGAACACAGTTTTCATAAATGATCAGATCTGACCAAAGAATTACAATAAATTCAAAACTAATATAGAGACAAGAGCACACTTCGAGAGCATTCAAGCAATTAATCAAATAAATATAAATATAATTCAAGATCAGATCAACTACATACCTGTATAGATCTGTCAAATCCACACCAACTTCGATCGATCTAAAAAGACATGAACGAGGAAAAGAGGAGTCTTGAACCACATATCTCTGAATCTACGAAAGGAGGCGATTTTCTCAAAAAAAATGCTCGAATCCATAATCAAATCGTAGATCGTCGAACGATCTGGAGAGAGATTTCGAAGATGAGAAATGAAAAAGAACAGATCTAACAAAAATAGAGGCGATAATGTCTCAAGATGAGAGAGAGAGAGAGAGAGAGAGAACAAATTAAAGAAACGATCATGCACAGAAGAAAGGTTGAGCGTGATTTATTGACTGCCTAGCATGATCCAACGGTTGTAAATGAAATGGTTGAGGAAATATCAACGGTAAGACGAGCGTGGCCGTAGATGAGACGGTGGCGCTGTTTGGGAAACACGGACAAATTACATATACCCCTCGAGAGATTTGATAAAAATATAAATTTTTTCTAAAGTTTAAAAAATTACAAATTATTTCTTGAGGGCCAAATTTTCATAATAAATTAGAAAAAATTAGGAAAAAATCTGTATGAAAATAAAAATTTCAGGGGACAATTTGTTATGAAAATATAAACCTTAGGGGACTGGATGTAATTTCTCAAACCTCAGAAGAAAAATTGTATTTTCACAAAATCTCGAAGGGGTGTTTGTAATTTGCCCGGGAAACACAGGTTAAGGCTATTATAGCCTCATTTAGGATATAAGCCAAAAAGCGTGAACAGTAGGAGGAGGTGCAAAATTAAAAAAAAAAAAAAGACTGCAGCTCGGGACACTGTGAGTTGACAGATTGTAAAATCAATTGGAAAATTACAATTTCACTCCCTTATATCAATTTAAAAAATTATAATCTTAGGGACAAATTTGTCATTTTAACTTCAAATATCATTTCAACACATTTTTCAATATAACAACTCAAATAAAAATTTATCTCATCTTCCCAAACACAAAAACTAAAATAGCCTACTAAAATAGTCAAAAAGTGTCTAAAATAGCCACTTCCCAAACGAGGCCGGTGTATTGATTAATTCATTTTTTTTATTCATTTATTGATTTCATTCATTTATTAACTGGCTAGCACGATCATGATCCAACGGCTGCAGATGAAATGGTTGATGAAATATCGACGGTAGGACATGCGTTGCGTAGATAAGACGGTGTATTGATTAGTAATATCTTTGAGCCCCCGTTTGGGAAGTTGGTTTGCTTTTTGGCTTTTTGATTTTTTTGATTATTTTAGTTTGGGCTAAAAAGTTTAGGTTGGGAAGATTTTTTTAACTTTTTAGTTTTTTTGACTTTTTTTGTGAGAGAAGAGTGTAATGATTATGGGTTGAATGTGATGTTTTGTTTGTTGTGACTAAAATAGCCTATTTTATCTTTTGTGACTATTTTAGCCCCAAAACCACTTGTCAAACACCACCTGAAAATGTCTTATTTACTTTTTAAATAGTTCTTTTTAACTTAGGGGTGGTTTGGCATCCCCTATATAATTCATCTTTTTATATTTTTTTCATCATATCATCTCTTTATTTTTCTGCACATCTTTTTGTAAAAAGACAAAATGTACACTTATTTAGATCATCCAAAATAACCACTAATTTTTGAATTTCAATTTTTTAAAAAAATTATAAGCTTGTTTAGTTCTGCTTTTCAGAAAATAGTTTTCAAAAAAATTTATATTTATATTTTTTATTTTAATAATTCTAATGATTTTTTTTAATTTTTTTAACATTTTTTTTAATTTTTAGACACACCTAACATAAATACACTTAAAAAATATAATATTTGTAAAAAAAATCTTTAAAAAATATACTAAATATCAAAAAATATAAAAAATTTCGTATATTTTTTGTATTTTTTGTGTAATTATGAAAATTTTAAAATATTTTTTCACAAATATTTTACTATTTTGATACATTTACATAAGGTACATTTAAAAAAGTAAAAAAAAAAGTGCTTAAAATTTTAAAAATATTCACTAAAAATAAAAAAATACAAAAAAATAAAAACTTAATTTTCAAAAAACTAAATTTAGAAAACTGAAATCAAACACACTTTAAAATGTGCAACAATTTATTAAATTATTTTAATTTAATTTCAAATTTTACTGAATAAAATATATTTAAATTGAACTTATCAATTCAATCACTAACAAAGACCTTATTAAGAATAATAATTTATTAGATGTTCAATATTTATTGTTATAAATTATTTTAACAACATACTAAAAACCTTTGGAAAAAAAAAAGAAAAAAAAAAAAGAAGAATCAGATTCTCGGTGGCAGGAAGTGCCACCTGCTAACTTGCATGTAAGCATGGAAAATTTCATCCCATCATGGTTCTTGGGTTGAGTAGATTTGTGGCAGGGAACAACAAAAAAAGAAAGAGAGAGAGAGAAAGAGAGAGAGAGAGGGAAGCTCTGCATGATTTATATATATACCCAAGAAGGACTGAGCATACTCTCATATACATACAAAAAGAAGGCACAAGTATATACATGCATGCCATTGGACGAGTGAAGAAAAAATAAGGAAGAAGAATTCAGCAGAAGAAGAAGAAGAGAGGAAGGTTTAGGAAGCAAAATTTTTCTATCATTTCATCACCCATTTCAATCCTACTATTAAGTAAGAAAACCCTCTCAACCCTCTCATTTTTTTTCTATTAATGAAGTTTTCAGATTATATTCATGTGATTAAAATGACTACTCATAGATAAAAATTTTATACACAAGTGTAGGAATTTTGTGATGTGTATATCAAATGTTTGAAGATATTGATAGTCTTAAAATCATCTTATTATTGTAAAAAAAATAAAATAAGCTTGCATGTGTAGTTTATACATTTAAAGAGAAGATTGAAAATAATCTGTCTGTTTTGAATCTGTCAGAATGTTTGCCCAAATTTTTAGACAATTTTATACTCAAAATTTCGAGATGATTTCTTTTACAAAGTTGTTAAGAATGATGTCTAGTTCATTCAGGAATTTTGGCAACAATTTTTGAGTTTTTTACGAATTTGTACAAATTTTTAACTAAATCTGAAACTGTGTTGAAAATAATCTGTTTTGAATCTGTCAGAATGTTTTCCCGAATTTTTAGACAATTTTATACTCAAAATTTTGAGATGATTTCTTGCACAAAGTTGTTGAGAATGATATCTAGTTCATCCAGGAATTTTGGAAACAATTTTTGAGCTTTCTACAAATTTATAAATTTTTTTAACTAAATTTGAAACTGTGAGACATATTTTACTATGTATTTGAAAATTTATTTAAAATCCTATACTAAGCCAAATCTAGTAATTTCTAACTAAAAGATGAAATTTGAGAAGTCTAGTTTCATGATAAATTTTTAGATTATGGATTTAATCTATAAATTTAAGCATAGAATTAATGTAAGGAAATGTGACAAATCTGTATCATAAAAATTTGCTGGAATTTTACAAGATTATTTACATCTTGTTTTTTTGAAATTCTTTCTGAAAAATGACCTAAACATCCCTATTGAGTATTCTGTTCAATTGCACGAATTTTAGGATTATGTAAATAATTTATTTATAATTTTTAATACCTAAGTTACAATCTGAAATTTTCTGGACAGGATAAAATCATCATGTCACTACTGTGTTGGTCTAATCCATCAACTATTATAAATTAGTAATCCATGTATGGGTGTGTTGTGATTTATTTAATATTGTGCTAGTCTAACAAAAAATTTGTGCATGTGCGTAATTATGGTGTATTTCTTGTTTCTAAGTTATTATGTTCATACCATGGTTTAAAGTAATTGTCTATTAAATTTTGTACATCGAATTATTATTGTGTGACATGTATAATGTTTTATGTTGGGATTTTTTTTTTAGTTAGTATAACATTATTGGTGATTGAGATTTGAATAATTTGTGTTTAATAGATAAATTAACCGAAATGATTAATGGTATATATAAAGTTATTGATAGAGGGTTAATACCGGGTATTCAGGGTGAGCTCTGTTTTTTAATAATTTTTAAGTAAATTGTATCGCGAAACCCTAAGATGGCACGGGGCTTATTTGAACCCTTATCGGTATTTGGTTTTGGAATAATGGTGGATGTGCAGGTGGCACGCAGGGAAGTTACGTACCCCTGGCAGACTGTTCCCTTGGGGCAGACCACGGATGTCACGGCTTGGGTATATAACTCCGGGCGTAGGCATTTTTGGTAGTTCTTGAATATTTGACCAAGGGGGGGTTTCCAAATTAACCGTGGCCATGACTTAGTAGTTGGTAAGTTAAATCTCTTTGGTGAGATTTCAAGGGTCACCTAATTTATTAAAATTATTTGAATTATTTTAATTGTTGTAATTTATGTTTACGATTATACTACTATCTCGTGTTTATAATCTCATTATTTTCCCTAAAAAAGAATGGTAGGTTGGTTATGTTTTCTTACTGTGTTACAAAACTCATGGCATATATTTTGTTGCCCTGACATTTCATGCCAGATTATGTCGAAGAAGGGACTAAGGCTAAAATTGGAGCTGCTGCTAATATCGAACCTTCGCTAACTTAGAGTCAAGATTTTATCAAAATAAAATCCTATTATCTCTTGTATTAGTATTTAACAATGTTGTGACGTTGTGTGTGAACTTGTAGTTTTATTTTGTTGTTGGACTTTGACTATGTAAGAATTTAAAATTTCCTAATTAGTAGTTAAAATTTTATCTAGCAAGTTATTGTTATTTAAATCTTATGATGTCTCAAAAAAAAAATTTGGGGCGTCACAGTTTGGTATCAGAGCCTAGGTTTGAACCTTTGGGCCATGGGTAGTAATTTATTATTTTTATGTTTAAGAAAGCCTTACGTTAGCTTATAATTTTCAGTGACTTAACTAAGTTAGAACCTTTTAAATTGTAGGATGCCAGGGTCATCAGATATTAACTCTAACGAGGAAAATTCGGTGGAAAACTATGACATAGAATTTGACCCAAGCGAAGAAGTGGAGATGCCTATAGAAGACTATGAATCTGAGCCTAAGCTTGACCCTGAACCTGATCCTGAGCTTGAGCCTGAATCTGAGCCCGAGGAGGTTGTACCAATATACAACCCCCTGGAGGTTATTGTGATTGAGTTAGACACTGCAGAGGAGTCTATAGAAGGCAATACCGAGGAGAGCACTGGAAATGTAGGAGCCGTGTTTGAGGGTTGGGATGCATGAAATGGGTTGCAGATTGGTTCTTTTGTATATGTTAGACTTTATCCCCTAGGAGGTTGTGCTTGGAAAGCTGAGAGTTGGGTTGGTACCTATGTCGGACCTGTCCAAATTCTAAGACAAGAGACTCCCTAGTTATATCAACTAGGCCCCTTCTCAGATGGTTTC